TTTAATAACAAATTAATCTGAAATGTAAGTTAAGAAAATTGGAGAAACGATAAATTAATAATTACAAATTAACTTCGAAAACACTTCTACATTCTGCATTACATAATTTTTTCAAAAGGCAACGGTCAATATCTTTTGAAAATTATTATCGTTTTAAAAGACTAATTCATAATTATAAAAGTCAATTTTTTTTAATATCTTGAAAATACCCAATTTTCAAACAACACAGGTAAACAGTTTCTAAATAGGCTCATCAGTGCTGTCCATCCATCCACTTTTAGTTTTCAGAATTTGTATCATCAAAGTAAAAACATATACAGGGTGTCCCACTAAGGTCGGTGAGGTACGATATTAGGGAAAGTATATGTCATAGAACTTTGATCAATAAATCAACCAACAGAAATCGCTGGAAATAGTTTTCAAGTTCGCAGCTAAAGATATCGAACCATTTTTGGCGTTAAAAGGTAGCTATTTTTATGCTCTTTGAACTAACCTATAAAAAGTTTTATCCTGCTATTTCACTTTTTTAAGAAAACTAACCTAAACTTGGTTAAATAGCAACAATAAATAAATAACACTTTCGTTAGAAATTTCAAACTTATACTACATTTATCAATTTTTTGTGCTGAATTCATTTATGTAAAGAAAACATTGCATTTCAAATTTTTCAGAAAAATCCATAAAACGGCATTCTTTTGAAATAACGCCATCTATAGGTTTCCATGTTGAGGTAAATTACATTATGCATTTATCACGAGATAAAGCATGAAAAGACCTTTCCAACGAGGTATAACACTATAGGCTTTTGATAAGCAAATCCTTAAAAAAAATGCATTTTTCTGATCAGACTTTAGGCGCTTCCCCCACCCTTTCTGTAGAGAGATAGAAAAAAATGTCAATAACAAATGTTATGTGCAATGAATCCGGCTATCCATATTAGTATTATTTAATATATCTGAATAGGAAACATTTCGAAGAAAAATTCAACTCTATGTTTTGGGAGTTACGAACTTGAAAACTATTTCTAGTGTTTTCTCTTGGTCGATTTATTAATCAAAAATATTTTCAGGGAGCTCTAGGGCCTATACTTTCTCTAATATCGTACCTCGCCGAACTTAGTAGGGCACCCTGTCTAATAAATTTTCTAGCAAACGTTGAATATTATAAATGTCGATGATATTTAAGACGCTCTTTCACTTAATGTTTCGAATTTTCGAACATGCCAGACGATTTGGACCTGATCAGTCGTTTTGAAGATACCTATTTAATAAATGTTTTGTTGTAGTGCATCTTTGTCATCATTTGTCGTATTTTGAATTATACTCGTAGATAATATAAAGATAATATCTAAATATAGACTATTTAAAACATTTTTAATAAATACCACCTCTTATATTCCTTTATTTTAGTTGATGCAAATACTCTCACGTATAACTTGAAATGCATAGGTATGTTCAACCGCTGAAATCTTGAGTTTAATACTGCCAAGTATTTAAATATTTCGCATTCAAAGTACACCAGACACCATCATCTATTGCAGTAAAGTAAATATTTATTCAGCAGCGCATATAATATACAAAATAACGTAACAGAAACAAGTCAGAGGTCTTTTACATCGTCGCTTACAAAAACATCCTTGCGCGAAATTACATCTAATTTTACTTCAGTTTCCAAATTGATCGCTTCAATTACAGCGCCAAACCATGAAACTAACTTCTCCCCGTCTCAGAGAAGCAATTCTTCACTCAGACGGTTCCTGAACGTGCCGCGTTCTAAATATGCTTTCGAACAGAAGCCTTCCTCAGAGCTAATTTGCCTAAACTCCCCTCCGGATTGTCATTAAGGGAATCTCTCAATAAACTAATAAAACTTCGCACTTTGATGTTCCGAGTGAGGACAGCCAAGTAACTAAGAGAACAGCGGATAGGGTGGCACTGAATTAAATTATCTCGGCAACTTACACTATGTTATCGATACTAGTATAATTTAATTGCCTGGAACGGATAGTTGTTTGAAAGAGTATAGCTTTCTTCTCATACACTTTTTTTATAATGGAAATAATAACTCAATTGTCTGCCTTTAAGAAAATCTAAAGACTTTTAAGAAATTTTATCCCATTCAAATTAATTCTAATTTTTTTTAAATTGTCGTTAAATTAAGTTATGACAATTTAACTACCAAACTTCTACACAAAGTGACAGGATGAAGACGAGTACGATTTGTGTACAAACAGTAGCGAATTCTAGGAGAATGAAAAAGTACAAATGTTATAAATTCGATTGTCACTACAGGGATCTCTGAAACGGCAAGAGATACGAACTAGCTTAAATAGGGGCAAAATTGCATAATGAGGAGACCAACATTATGCCTCTAAATAATCAAGGCTATCATGATTAGTTTTCAAAATATTTGAAAATAAACAAAATTTTGAATATTCGTTTTTGTTTATTGATTACTAATTTACAAAGTTTTGTAATGCCTTTATTTCGATGTTTTCTCGAGAAGGCCCAGTAAAAAGTTATTCAGTTTCAAGAAAGCAGTCGTAAAAGATATAGTAGTAATTACTGTTGTTTCTTAACCTGAGAGCAGAACCAGTGTATGTCCAAAATTTTAAAATTTACGTTTTAACCAAGTCAAAAAATGCAGATTTTAAAATGTTGGACATAGACTAGTCTTAAGTCGTTGAAGCGTTGTATCGGACAATAAAATCTGGTTTTGTCTAACTTCTGTCTATCATGTAAAAATTGTTCAATATATAGAATGATATAATGTTATAGGTATAATGTCTATAAAAACGATTCTGGTGAGCTCAGAGGCTAGCAAAAGTCACGTTCTCTGTGTCTAAACCCATACCAAGAAAAATAAAAGTGAGTAGTCGATATAGACCCTCATAACATAAAATAACCCTCAGGATCTCACCCTTTTAATATATCTGCAGAAAGCCGCAGTTCTAACGAAACAAATGATTTAAAATTAAAATTGGATAGATAGATAGACAGAAAAATTTAAAGTTATACAGGGTGTCCCGAAATTAGGGTGTTTTATGTCGAAAAAGATTACTTTTTCTTTAAATAAACGTGAGTCCAGAAATTCTTCCTAAGGAAGTTATAGCCCCTTAAAGGGGTCACTCTGATGATGGATTTTCTAAATAACTCCGAAAGTAGTTGAGACAAATTTATGAAATTTGGTAACTAGGTTAGATAACTAAAACGAAATTTATAAATTTTCATCACATACGTTCTAACAGTGGGGGGAAGAATTACAACAGAGAATTCATTTCGCTGCGAATCAAATCATACAAAATAATTTTGAAGACCTCAAGTCTTCGCGGGAAATTCGACGTCGAGCTGAAAAATGTATTTAGCAAAATGGAAATCTTTTTGAGCATTTGCTATAAAAATTACTATTGAAATAAAGATAAATTTTATTAATAGTGTGGTTTTCAATTATTTTTATTAGTTTATTGTATTTAATAATTTCAATTGTTTTTTTACTTTGTCAAATAATAATTTACTAAAAATAATAAATTTCTGTGAAAATAACAAGTCGCAAAAAGTAAATAACTGAATTGTCAATGCAAATGACGCCAAACACTTTTTTTTCTTCACAACCCGCTGCGATAGATTTTTAAACGGATTTTACACAAAAATGGAACATTATACCAATATGGACTAAGAGTACCTTTTTCAATTAAAAAGCTCTAATATTTCATACTTTTCAGTCAAAAATCAAAAAAAGTCAGAGCATAAAAAAGTTATGGTAAATTTCATCCCCCTACCCCTAGTGTTGGAACGTATGTGATAAAAATTTGTAAATTTCGTCTTAGTAGCGGACTGAGCACGTAAGAGTTAAGCTAGTTACTAAATTTCGTAAATTTATCTCAACTTAGTTCGGAGTTATTTAGAAAAAAAAAATCACCAGAGTAGCCCCTTTAAGTGGCTATAACTTCCTTAGGAAGAATTTTTGGACCCACGTTGATTTGAAGAAAAAGGAATATTTTTCGACATACAACATCCTAATTTCGGGATACCCTGTATAATTATTGTATATCGAACTAAATAAACATATATATAGTTTTTTTCGTCTTAAGTAATAATTTTATAATTTTCATAATTAAAATAGCGATATGTGTTTTGAATCAGTTTCTATTATTTACGTGAGATATATTCTAGTACAACTATAATATATTTTTTACGTGCTAATAAATGGAACTATAAGGAGCGCCGCAATAACCATAAAAGACGTTTACGTCCGCAGAATCTCCGGTGTAGTTAAACTTCTCTTTCGATAGGATCCTATTTCTAGAAAAAGTTATTTTGACACAGTATCCCTCAGTTCCTAATATCCTCGTTTCTCTCAGCTGAATCCTGGCTTCAAACCAATTTTGTGGACAAAACATTGAAATGATTTCTTTCTCAAGGAAAGAAATAAATACAATTTTAACACCTATTTTATATTAGCAAATTCAACTGCTTTTGCCACTATTGTTATTATTAATTAATTTGTAGTTTTCATTAATAAAATAATTTGATATAGGTACCTGATATTACAACTGTTCAAAATTTTGTCCGCCTACGCGACGTGTAAACACATTTGGACCCGCCTTACCCATTTTCTCCGAACTAACACATATGCCATTTTAATGACTTGAAAAACTAATGTAAACACTATCGCAAAAACGTTTCAGTACTCGGAATCGCCTGGGCCCACGTGGAGAGAGAGAGCGCACAACGCCAAATTTTTTTGGATAGTTGTGAATCACCCTGTATAATGTATAATGTGCACGCTTAAATTATTCAAGTTCTTATAAAAAACATAAGAATTAAAAACTACCTTGATGATTTTCCAAAAATGTAACAGGTGATTCCAGACAATGTCCGTGGTTGCATTACGGGAAAACCTTTGATACATTTTTCACGACTTCACTCCTAATAGACGCATGTAAACTAATGTAGGGCTAATCTAATAACCATAACGTAACGATTTTTTTGTTGTCGCAGAAAATGATGGGTTGGTGGTCGTCGAAGTGCGCGTGCCTGAAGCGTCGTCGTCGGCCGGTTATCAACGATGAGTACTCGGAGAGCGACTCAAAATCTGTATCCGACATAGAGCTGAAGCCGTCTAACGAGCCGCTGAAAAAGATAGTGCTGCCCAGGCGCAGAAATTGCTGCAAGATCAAGAAGCATATACCGAGGAAGATCCTGAAGTGGTTCGGTCAAGACGACGACATGAGCATGACGAAAATTGAAAAGAGTGAGTGTTGCATGAAAGATTATAGGGATTTTGATATAAATATGTAGGGAGTGTTATATATTCGATATTGGAATAAAACTCGGTGTATATCCGCAGATCTGATACAATGGAACAGTTTAATTAATGATAATGCATGATTTATAAAATGAATGTTAGTAAAATGTATTTGTAGGAAATAGTCAAGTTGAAAGAGGGAATGAAACGTTATTACACCAATTTTGGCGAATTATAGTCGTTATTTAGATATTGAATTTAATCAGTCATAACAATTTCAATTTTCAATGTATTGAAAATAATTTCAAAAGTATAAAATATTTTTGACGTTGTACTAAGGATAATAATATAAATATTTACTTAGAAGGACTTAAAACTAATAAAATAATTTAAATAGAGTGCTAAAATTTGTACCTATCTAACAGAACATTATTTAACAATGTATGTAACGAGCGTTCAAATAAAAACGTGGTCAAGTTGGTTCTGAAAATTTGGACGTAGGGCGTAGCGTATAGCAAATGAACTTAAACGTCATCTGTCAAAGCGCCGCTACCAATTTGAATATTTTCGTTTTAAAAAGCGTTTAAAATGGGTTTTCTCAAGAACAAAAAGTGTTTATCATAAAGTCCTACTTTAGAAATGGACGCAAGATTGATGGAATATGGAAGTATTCTATTGAGGAATGTTTCATAGAATTTCAAAATCAATTTCCCGGCGTTGTTGAGTACAAAATTGTTCAAAGCGCAGTTCAGCGTTGTGTTAATGTTTTTCGTGAAACGGGCAGTGTAACAAGAAAAGAAGGAAGCGGCCGACCTAAAAAGCGGACTGAAGAATTAAAAGAAAATGTCCAACAAATAATGGAAAATGCGCCAAGAACTTCTGTACGTGTTTTATCACAAATGGTGGGAGTATCAGTCGGTACCTGCCACACAGTGTTAAAAAAAGATTTGCGTTTGTTCTCCTATCGTTTAACTTGTCAGCAAGAACTTCATGAAGTTGATTTTCCGCGACGGGCTGTATTTTGTGAATGGTTTTTAAACAACTACGGTGAACTTCATAATATCACCTTTTTTTCTGATGAAGCCTGGTTTCATTTAAGTGGTTACGTAAACTCACAGAATATGAGAATGTGGTCTTCTGAAAAACCAGATAACTTTTTTGTCGAGGGCCCTCTACACGCTCAAAACATTGGAGTTTGGTGTGCTCTCAATCGAAGGAGGATTTATGGACCTATTTTTTTTAATGGTACTCTTACTGCGCAAAGGTATAGAGAAGAAATTATCGCTCCTTTTGTTAACAAGCTGGAAGAAAACGAAATTACAAACTTTTACTTTCAACAAGATAGCGCAAGGGCACATACGGCAGGCGAGACGATGAATATGTTGAGGGAAGTTTTCCAAAATCGACTAATAAGTCTCAATGCTGAACATGAATTTCCACCGAGGTCATGTGATATTACGCCGTGTGATTTCTTTTTGTGGCCTTACCTTAAAAACACTATTTTTGAACTGACTATTCCTGATTTAAACCATCTGCAGGCTTGACTTATAGACAAGATTAGTGAAATTAACAATACCCCGAGCATCTTAGAAAATTTCTTTAATTCTTTGAGGAACAGGTCTGAAAAGTGCTTGGAACAAGGAGGGGGACACTTTCAGCAGCTGCTTTAATTTATTGTTATAACAAGGAGGGGGACCCTTTCCGCAGCTCCTTTAATTGTTTGTTATTGTTATCACGATTATTCTTTAAAATAAAGTTTTATAGTCATTAACGTTATTGAAACTGACACCTGCTATACAGCTCCTTGAGAAATGAGGTTAAGTTGGTCGCTATAAGCTACTCCCTACGTCCAATGTGTCAGAGCCAACTTCGACCACGTTTTTATTTGAACGCTCGTTATATCTATATCAGGAATTAGTTGTTAATTTCTTACTTTATTTGTTGTATGAAGAAACATGGACAAGTTAATTTTTTATTTAATAAAACCACACAGAAATAATTGTTCAATAACATTGTTGTAGTTACATACAGATATTGTTTTTGTCTTATTTTTTCATATAGGTTTCCTGTTTTATAAAACTTGGCCTACCTGTCCAAATGTGGATGTTCTTTACAAAAAAGCTGTTTGATGCAGTTTTTAACAGCTTTATCTCATCAATACTTTTAAAGCAAATCTCTTTTAAGCAAATGATAGTCTGATAGCATCAAGTTCGGAAACTACTATGAATATCACAACACCTTAAGCAGTAGTTCCTGTGGGGCAAAAATACCTTTCGGGGCGTTTCGTATTGCGAGATTCAGCAGCACAAGTATGTCACCAAATCGAGTATCCAATCATAATTTAATTTTTTCACTCATAATTGCACAAGAGGTTTGTATTTTACCGAGTAAATTTGGGTTGTTTAATGAGAAACTGTTGCCTAGCAATTACACAAGAAAAACCGTCAACACAGTTTTTCCGAGTCAAATTGCTAAAGAAAACAGTTTAGAATCTAAACAACACAAATTTACCAGGATCAATACAAACATCGAGTGTAATTCGCCAGGACAATTTAATGAATTTATAAATTTATAAACATATCAATGCAAACTTTATTTATGAAATTCTAAAGATAAATACATTTTTATTTGAGCGTACAATTGTTAAACATGCAGTTATTGAAATTCATGAACACTAATGTCGCTACGGGTGCCACAGCTAATCGTTTCTGCAGTAGATGTTGAAGTTTGTTCTTTTTCCAAACGAATCGATTGAATAATGCTCGAATGATACTCTTTGTCAACTTGTAAGTATGGTTTTATTCATAATGAATTGCTGGGTCCTGTTAGAGCTTGTTCTTCAATTCCGCTTTTACTTAATTCGCTAATTGCTGCCGATCAGTTTGAGTGATTTGTAATTTTGACACGTTTGACCTCTATACCAATGCGTTGTGTTGGGCATTTAGTCCATTTGGAAATTTCATTAATTCCAACATTTTTATACCAACCTTAAGAATTTTTCTTCTTCCAAAAGGTATTTGGTGTAAGAAATACTCTGTCCAATATTATGGAAGTGCATCGTTTTTCTATCAACTTTTTAAATAAGCGTACAGGGCAAATATCTTCCTCTAAAATATTAGGCGTAATCCATTTGCTGTCACATAATTTATTGTCACAGCTTTGTCTGGTTTTCGAAAATAGAGGATTATACTCGATACGTCCAGTTTCTTTTCCATTATTCTCAAATTTAGATACGAAATAAGTGGTTTTGCAGTAAGTTGCTTCTTCTCCACGCCAAGCTAATGCTAATGCCAATGTGATATAATTTCTTTCCGGCTCATTTTCGTCATGTAATCCGGCCATTGCAAATACTTTATTAAGAGCTGATGCACTGGATTTTGTCTTTTCGGGTTGTGCTTGTAGGATTTTATGTTTAGCAACCCGTGCAGCTCGTGATGAATTAAACTGTACATCGGTGAAAGGGTTAAATGCAATATTGAATTCTTTATAATATTTACTTGGTAGCATTTTAGCGGTGGTATTCTAAATTGTTTTAACTAAAGCTTCTTTGTAGTCTTTTCCAACACATTTTCGCATATTAAAAGCCCAATCTTGCAATATTAGATTCAATTTCTCGATGGAAGAATCTGGCTCAAATTTATATCCTTTTGCATCGCAAAAAGTAGAAAATTGTCGCCAGATTGATGATTGACTGTTTTAGTAGTATTAACAATTTGACTAATTTCGTTGTTCGTAGACTCATGATTTACTATTTCTTTTTGTTTGCTAGATATGTCAAAAAAAAAATCGCCTACTGTTCGAAGTAACATTTGAGGTGTTGGAAACTTACCTACGTACTATTTAAAAAACAGTAACAGAAATGTTGCAAAGTTGATTAAAACCCACACTTTCCGTCGTATTTCACTTCCAGTATTGTTACACTCTACATGGCAACTCTTCTTTGATTTTCTTTTAGGGAGAGAAATCGAACGATGAAGGCGCTTATCACTACGTCTTCAACGATGGAAGAAATCGAAAATTGAATATAGAATTTCTGTAGTTTATAAAAAAGGGACTAGCCAACAAGATCATCAGATCTCAGTCTAAGTGACTTCCTGTCATCATATGGAATGTTATCATGTACAAACAGGAAATTTCAGGAAAACTCTACTACATACTTTAAATTTCATCGTTGGAAAAGCCATTTTAAGGCCTATCAAACGAAATGTTAATCGATTTACATAAAAATAAACTCACCGAATGTCGTAAATACCTATTCCTTCCAAAATTTATGAAAATCTTCAAGTAGGACAATGAATTTTTCAGTAAAAATCCGTTTTTGCAGTTCGTGGATCAAAGTCACTGTTTTGGTACCGAATTTAAAGAGCAATGTTATTAGTTTTAGTCCCTCGGGTATCAAAAGTTGCTAGAAAATATTGTGACAGTAAGTTTGTTTTTTCTTCTCATATATCTCGTGGGCGAAACTTTGCTCTGATTAAAAGCTGCACTTTACTTCCTAGGTATATAAATATACTATTAATACGTCTTTCGTGACTCCTGCGACGATTTCACAGAAAATGTAATTACGTTAAATGAAATGTTCGCCCACCGATTAATGAACAGGTTTCCCGCGAATTGGACCTCGTAGATTTTATCAACTTTAGCATGTCGCATTTTAGTTCCGTGCTAAGTCAGAATAACCTATTATTAGTTATATTCATTTTTAGTTTTAAATTTAAACTATTCGTTAAAAATCGTCCTTCTATATATCTTTGTATTAGTCAATATAGCTATCTCAGATGTTAGTTGTATTTTAATTTTCTGTTTATACAATTTTATTTTGCGTGTAATTTTATTTTGCGTGTATAATTTATTCTGTTTTCAATGTTGTCTAAATTTATTTATTTACCTGCGGCGTAGTTTTAGTTTTTTCTTTATTTTTTGGGTATTTTGCCACCTGTGAGAAAAATTAATGAAATATTTGCGCAAGACGAATCTTAATATCTTTAAAAAAAACAAGTTGTCTT